TAAATAAACACACCTACATAGTATACACAGTAAAAAGATAGTCCCAAGTTACACGTTTCAGTTTAACAACCTGTTCATAATTAAGAGGTATCAGGTATATCGAGAAAGAAATGTTTAGTACTTGTAATTCTAATCAGAGAATTAAAAGAGAGAATTACTATAAATTATGGCCAAGAGGATAATTTTTTTATTAAATTCTGTTATATAATGTCGGTGATAATAACCTTATATGCGTGTTACTATATTGAGCGTAAAATATATCTAAAAAATAGTAAGTGTTTACTTGTTGGGTGCTAATAACATATTTCCTTGAATCTTCAAGTTCTTTTATTTAAATAGAATAAATAATTTTCATGAAAATGTTTTCTTAAGGTCTTCAGAAAATGCATATTTTCTTCTGTGAAAAATATTTTATCGGTAAGTAAATATGTTATTAATATTCATCGCAAATAAATATATAAAATAATGAGTTATAATAATGTAAAATAAGTTAAAAATAAATAGTTAGTAAATACTAACTATTTTATAGATACTTTTTCTCTCGGTGTACTGCCACATTGCTACAAGAAATGTGGTTGGAGCTAGAGATAATTGTAATTTTATTTAGATCAGCCACTTTTCCTCGTAATATACGTATTGCGAAGATGAACAAGTACTTCTCTCTGACAAAGTTCTTTGGTAATAAATAAATGAAAGTAAGATTAATATGTACCTGGATTTTAGATATGACAATTGAAGACATGGGAACACAATATTGTTGCACATGCAAGCGCTCCGCACCGGAGCTTTTCTTCAGACTTGAAACGTCGTTTTCAATCTGCCAAATCAAACTCATCCTTTCCGGATTTATCTTAGCAATTTTTTTATTATTACTCTTATTTTATATTAGTTTCTCTTAATATTCTTTTCCTTTATCGTTAAATGCCGAAATTAAAGTGAAACAGTGCTTGATACGAGCTTGATATACTCCGAACTCGCGTCACTTATCGCGCTTATCACATTGAAAGAAATTACAATAACGAACGGTGAGACGCGGGATTCGAAAAGCGAAATCGATGTATTTTTTAGCGACCGATCAAGCGACGTCGTGAATGTAGAAACAAGAGAGAGAGAGAGAGAGAGAGAGAGAGAGAGAAGAGAGAGCGAGTCGTCTCTTTAAAAGCTCCTGTGCTAGTCACGGCATTCTGTTTCCTCAAAGATAGCGACACGGGCCGTGGAGGCGGCGAGGACGAGAGAGAAATAGACGGCGAACGAGGGTGGCAAAGTTGAGATGAGTTGGGCGCGCAGGGGGTTGGGTGACGCTGTACCGGAGGCTGCCATTATATCTGAGCCGCCATTTTAAATTGAATTTTCTCCACCCTAGATAGATCTGAAACGTCTCAGGCTTGCCTGGCTCTCGCTATTCCTTCCACTACGAGAGGGCGAGCGAGGACGAGGAGATGGCGTCGGGAAAACCGGGGCTTGGGAGGAAGAAGGCCGGAGGCGGGCGGGGGACAAGGGCCCCCTTTCTTACGCGGCCGCCATCCTGCTTTTTTTTCTTCCATCGAGAACCCCTGTTTCGCGTATATACGCAAGCGAGCCGGCTCCGCCGCTCTGGGGTGCGACGAAATTTCGGCGCTCGCCCTCCACAAATTTGCGTCGCGAAACGGCGGGAGGGTGTCTTTGAAATTCGAGTGGGTGTTACTTCGCGCGCCGCGCGTTTTATCGGAATTATCTCGGACGGATTGGACACACGCCGGAATTGGATTATAACGGGGATATATTGTCACGCGCTGCAACACATCGAATGTCCTTTTAATTTTTAGTCCGCTACCGTCAAGGTACTCGACACGCGGAGTAAGTCTGCCGTAAGTTGCAGCAAGAAATAAAAATCATTTACTTCGCTTACGCCTATATTCTGGCTTCCTTGCACCGGAAAAATCTCTTGAGTAAGATTGTTGAATGAGTAAACGTTTACTTTTATTTCTTTTTCACTTCATGAAACTTACGCCGAACTTACTCCATGTATTGCAGACGAGCCTCTACTCTGGATTTTGTGTTGAAATTGAAGAGAATGTCCGAGAATATCCGAGAAATATATTCGAAGTGAGTGAATTTGTAGAAGTCTGTAGCTGTTATATTCCTTCCTTCTCTTTTTGTACCACACTGAACTGAAAGAGCGCGATATTCGTTCGCGAAGAGAAATCGCGAGCAAGAGATTGACCTTCGGAATCTCGCTCTAAATCGCATTTCTGGCGTATCGCGGGAGGGAGTCGCGAAATTCCATTTTCCCATTCAAGGCAACAGATTTCACGCGCGTGAGAAAGCGGGAACGGGACAGGAAGACGTGCCGGGCCGAGAAAAGCGGTTGGACACGGCGAAGGGTGCAAGGGTCGAGAGCAGCCGAAACGCGCAAACCGATGACGCAAGCGTTAATTACGGCGCAAAGCGCGCTTCGCTAGGTTACGCCAGGTAATTGGCCGATTCTGGGGCAGCCGCGACGGAAAACCAGCGACTGGAAATGACATTTAAAACTGCGAGCCACTCTCCGTCTCTGTCCCTCCATCTCTCTATCTCGTGTTTGAGGTCGGGAACGGAACACAGCCGACGCAGGGGCCAGCCAGCTCGGCCGTCGTCCCCCTCGTCCGGAGTTGTGACGTGCTGTGCCGCGCCTCCTCCTGACGCGGCCCTCGCGCGGACACTTTGTGCATCGGTTATAACCGGGCGAGCGACGCGCAAACCGCGTTTTACTTGGCATCGCAGTTTAACAGGGTTAAGTCGCGGCGGTTCCCGGGCTTTTAACTCAAACAACACCCCGCTGCATTATATATCAAAAGAGCGCAACGCACCGACGACTGTTTTAATATGTACCCGCTCGCTCGGAATTCGAGGCCGTAACGTGCGCGCGCTCGGTGCACCCACGGGCCTCCTGACGTTCCCTCGTCGCCGCCGCCACCCCCAAACCTTCACTGCTCCTCCCTCTCTTCCTCTGTCTCTCTCTTTCTCTCTCTCTCTCTCTCTCTCTGCTTCCGTCTCTGTCTCCGTCTTTCATTGCCGAATCCTCCCTTAATGTCATCGCAAACCGCATCACTGTCGTAGGACTCGTTGATGTCCAACTTGCCGTTGATATTTTAATACGAGAAATTAATAAACATAACTCAAATCCCACGCTCGCCGTCCGAATTCATCGTTCGACGTTCACGTAGGCTTCCCCGGACTGCTGAGAGAGAGTATATGTGATGAGAGTGTACAGCATGCGCGAGTATACGCTGGTTGAAAATGTCTCGGTCCCCCTCTGATCGATTCCACGACCCTCGAAGAATACAGGGTGTCTTGGGCCGACATTTGCGACCGTAACTTGATTTCGCCGACCCCACATGCGTCTTTGATTCGATTACGCAATGAGTCACAGTCAAAAAGATAGGCGGGGGATAAGTGTACCTACCTGCCTATCTTTTTCGAACAACCCCGATGGCTCCGTGCGGCTCGGTTCGGCGAAGCATCGCGTTGATAATAGAATATAGAATCACGCATCTTACTCCCCGACGCACGCGAACGCGAGTTGTGTTTTAACTATGAGGGACTTGCGAAAGTTCGTCGAAGGGTCGACGATGATTTCACGGGCCCGAAAGAGGCGTGATTTGCAGAACCGGTGACAGAAAGCGATGTGAAGCGGATAGTGATGACATGTACCGCGATTTAACGCGACATATTTTATTTAATAACTGTTATTAATAAAAAAAAACACGGCGAGAAATTCCCAGACAGCACAATGTCCAAAATCGGATCATAAGACGTCTTTAAAACATCTTTAAGACAAGTTTATAAAGTATTGTCTTAAAGATGACTTAAAGACATCCTAAAGACGTCTTATGACTCGATTTTGGGCATTTGTGTTGTCTGGGTTACGACTGATGCAAGTTTCTCATACAATATAAAAGGGTATATTGAGATTTCGAAAATTATTCTCCTGTCGCGAATTAAAAACATTAAAAGTGTCCGTGAAACGTTGATGTTAGGTCGAGACTTTCGTAAAATATTGGATTGACCCATAAGTTCGTGTTTCGGATCTAGTTAATACTCGCATGTTGGTATTAGGAGGATAGTTCCATGTGATTACACACAAAAAAAATTTCAGTTGGGGCAATCAAATAGGAACTAACTGAAAATTAGATGATCAGAAGCGATATTTCTGTTATGAAAACTAATATTTCTGTTGTCGTAACCGAAAGTATTCGTCTGAATATTCAACGATATTAGAGCTCGGTTGAGGCAATTGTGAACAATTGACTATACGGTAGCCTCATAAAGGAATTTTTCTGTTCCTATAACCGAGTTTTCGTCTGATCCCTGAGCAACCGAAAATTCGGTTGCACCAACAGAATTTTTTTTCCGTGTATATATATGCTTTCATAGCTGACATTTCAGAACATTATTTTATAGTGTATAGACATATTTTATAGTGTAAGTGATAGTGAAGAAGTGCAGTCGCGTCCTTATTGCGGAAGATCAAAGGCACCAATAAGATTTTCCAATACATTATGCTTCTTTACTTCCGGAAAAATTGTTGGAGTTTGTTGGAATGTTTTGCCTCATTCTCCACCATATTCACCAGACACTGTCCCCTCCGATTGTCATCCGTTTCGCTCATTGCAGAACTCCCTTGACAATGTAAACTTCGCGCTCCTTCAGAAGACGTGGAAAATCGCTTGGAACGTTTCCTCGCCGGAGAAGCGCAAGAGTTTCACGAGAGGGGAATTATGAAATTACGTGAAAGGTGGCGAAAGATCGTCGAGCAGAATGGCGCATATATTATTGATCGAAACTGTTTTCAACAAGAGAATAAAATGCATTTCAATTTTGTTCAAAAACCCGCACGATCTGATGAGTCAACCCAGTACATCTCAAGTGCGAACGTGTCGAGCAACCCGGGAACGTCTTTCGAGCTCTCGAGTCGTCGTGTGTCGAAGAGTCGCTCGTCTTCTTTCTCTGTCGAGCGCGAGCAGCGGCATGCTACTCACCTGAATTCTGGCCTCATTCAATTTGGTGGTCCTCGCCAGCTCCTCCCGGCAGTATATGTCCGGATAATGAGATTTTGCAAACGCTGATTCCAATTCCGCCAGCTGCTCCTACGAAACAATTGGAAAGCCGTGGTAAAGGTCGATTTCAACTAGCCGGCAGGAAATTTGGACGCGATACGAAAGAGCAGAGAGCTAATCGAAACGCTATTGTCGAAGGGGGTGCGAGAGATGCACTCTCCGCACTTTATATCCCGAGGAAACGCGCGCGTGCACACCAAAGGAAAAAAAAAAATTGGCTGATCTAACTAAAATTATAGCGTTTACTTTTAGCGCCGCCGCGACATGCATTTTTTGCAGAAGAATAGGTAGGCCCGATCTACAATAGATGGAGTAAGGAGTAGGAGTAGGAGTAAGAAATAAGCAGTAAGTAAATGGACCAATCACAATCGATTATTCTTGAATCGTGAGAATGGAATTGGCCAATTTGCTTAAGCTGGTGGCACATAGAAAAATTTAAGCAGTAAAACGTAAACAGTAAGCAAATTGACCAATCACAGTCATTGATTCTTTTTACAGCCCAAGAATCAACGGCTGTGATTGGTCAATTTGCTTACTGTTTACGTTTTACTGCTTAAGTTTTTCTATGTGCCACCAGCTTAAGCAAATTGGCCAATTCCATTCTCACGATTCAAAAATAATCGATTGTGATTGGTCCATTTACTTACTGCTTATTTCTTACTCCTACTCCTACTATTGTAGATCGGGCCTAACAGTCATATGCATACAATCTCATTATAGTAGAGTGTAATAAAGAAATAGTTCTCTTGGCCATCATTTATAGTAATCATTCCTCTCTGTGTGATTGTATAGTTGCAAATACCAGACATTTTTTCCTCAGTGTAAAATATCCTGTCGAAGCATATCCGTCGATCAAGAGGCGCGCGGATTTGATATTATTTGCATCAAACCCGAGTAATTTTTATATTACGATATAATACGATGTATTTTATCCGCACATAAGCGCACATAAACGGACAGGTTTGGTGTTTTAATAAACATTTATGTTAATATTAAAAATGCTGTATCAGTTAAAAATCGCATACATATGTGTATGTATCTTTTTGCCGCGAATATGAGCGACTCAAACCACGAATGACGTTAAATTTCGCTTCATTATTCAAGTACACAATCGTGTTGCACGTAAATTGCGCTACGTTTCAACGGGGTCGTCGACACTTCAGATACATCGCGCGCGCGCGTCGACATTGTGTTTCAATCTGAACAAACCGGACTACTAGTGTCACCGTTTAGGTGGCTCTCATACAAACCTGCGTGAAGGTAGTTCTGTGTCGCCGTCGGGCGGGTGTTGGACAACTGGCTGTCGTAGGTGTGTGGCCAATGTGAGGGCTGGAGGCGCAGGGGTCGGGCTTTAACTTTTTAAAAGCGCCTTCTGCTCCTGCAATAAAAGAAGAACGCGGCTTTAACGCTTTCACGACGGCAGACACGTACTTCCAAGGAGAGGGAGAAGCAAAGACGTGTGCATCGCTTTCGTCTCGTGTCAAATCGCGATAATGTTCGTGCCGTAGACGAAGTCAGATAAATTTCAATTCTGCCGATACACATACACACACACGCACACACACACACACACACACACACACACACACACACACACACACACACACACACGCACACGTTTGTATTATGTATGTATACATACATATATATGTAATTGTATTGCAATTATTTTATAAATATATCATTCGAATTACACTCGCCGATCGCGCCCGTAAAGTGATTTAATGACACATTAATAGCCATATTAAATGACATATTAAATATACATTTAATAAAAAACCGTACATCGAACACGCACACAAAACAGGCATGATAACAAAAAAAAAAAACAGACAAAACAGGCAAAAGAAGACAAAGAGACGATCATTTATTTTCCATGATGCAAAAAGAGACGATTTATTCCGCAGTAATCATTTGCAGTCAGTGGCAAAAAATGGCGCAGCACTTTTATCTTAACGAAAATCTAAACACATACGAAAGGAAATTTGTCTTCTAAGAAAAATATTGCTAAGAAACAAAATTTTCTCTCTTTTTCTTTCTCTCTTTTATTAAAAGTGTCATGAAAGTTATGGAAAAACAAGTGCTGCACTGTCCCCCCCTCCCTCCATTGCCACTTTGCAAATATTTTTCTTTTCCTAAACCGACTCGTCAAATATGATAGAAGAATGAACCCGAGTCGAAATTTTGATCTTACTTTCCATTCAACACCTACTTTAATATTCTGAAGTTCATAATATAACCTATTTTGACACTAAAGACAGTGAAAAGGGAAATTTCGGACATTATCAGAATCAAAGTAGAAGTTAATTCTATCATTAGAATTAAGCCTACTTTGCTAACTTAGTTCCTATTGCGTTGTAGAATTCAAAATTTAACATAAGGCCAAGATTTCGGCTCAGGAAGTTAAATATAAAACGAGATTAACAGGGAGAAGGAAAGCTAACAAATAGAATTCGCATAATTTCACAATAGATTCCGCGACATTCATTCCGTAGAGAAGAAGGAGGAGACAGCTCCAGAGCGGAAACTCCGCTCGAAATCATCGCCGAGCGAGGCGCAAAAGTGTCTTCCGCGTCTTCCCGAACTCGTGTTATCCCGTGATGCGTTTTCCCGGGCCAACGCGATCAACAAACTCCGCTAACGATCCCATAACGCTTCGAGACACGCGGTCAGCTCGGTCACGGATTCTCTCGCCGCGCTCTCGCATATTGTCTCTCGCATTCACCCGTTAGATGGTCGAGAAAGAGGCTGAGCAGGCAGGCGGAGTCGGAATTCGATTTCCGGTATCGCTTTCATCGCCGGAAAATTCGATATTCCATGGAAGGCGCGATTCACCGAACTTTCGACCTCCACGCGAGAAGTCCATGGCCGCTGTCGCCGACACCACCACCGCCGCCTCCGCCGCCGCCGCCGCCGCCGCCGCCGTCTTGGTCGCCGCACGGCGATGCGACGCCGATGCGACACGGGTGCGACGCGACGCGGTGCGGCGCGGCGTCGCGACGCCCCGGCTTTATGAACGAACGTAGGTAGAGAGGTACCTACCCAGGTCGCACGGTCCCGGGGTAAGCGTGGCGAGCGAAGTCCCTCGCACTATGCTAACTTGGTTAGGGCGTTAATGACCTAATCATGTTACATGCTGATTCAATGTTCAAGGATGAATGCTGTCCACTTTACATACCTTGCCCGGTTACCCGGTGAACGAGGAAACTCGGTCAAGTTCAGCGAAGAAGGCGAAGGGCCTCTCTCTCTCTATCTCTCTCTCTTTCTCTCTCTCTCTACCTCTCTTTCACTCTCTCTCTCTCGCTCTCTCGTCGGGCGACCCGCTTCCTTCTCAACTACGAGTTGTGTGCTTTGACGTTATTCTTTTTCTTTCATTTTTTTATTTCACGAGTTATGAGAATGTATATGAGGAGGGAAGTTGCTGACATTTCTTGTGCCGGTCTCCTAAATGGTAGCTGATCTTTTTAAATTCTTGCAGCACGCACAGAATAAGATATACTCTGAAAATTGTTCGCTTGTATCTCTCGCGTTGCTCATTTAATTTTAGCGCGCGTTCAATGTCGTTTAATATTCAATAATAATAAAGAAATTGACGAGGTACGATTTGGGAGACCGGCATGATTTCGACAACTCTCCTCCAAAGTATTCTGTTGTTCACATGAACAGCCACATTTCCTTCCAGTCAATATACACGAAGAAATTGTCAATAAGAGCCAATGTGGGTGGCTTTAGTCAACTTCTGATGAGCCACAAGATGGTTGATTTTTTAATTAAATTTTTGCAACCGGAGAGCATCCTACGTAAGCTATTGTTAATTGTTTACGTGCTGAACGAATGTCCGAGAGCTCTATCTAGTTTTACTCATCGTTCCTTATCCGAACTCGTTTCTTACGGAGCGTTATTAGCTCCCCGACTTTTTCTAAACATCAAATTGCAATTTCGTGGGCGCCCAAGGATACATCGATGTGTCTCGCAATGTAATTCAGAGAAATACGGAGATATCGCGTGCCCAATTTTTGCAATTAATTCGCTAAGAGGACAAGAGAGCGACGGATATAAGAAGGCGAAACGGGATTAACGAAACGAATCGCTGTCGAATGCACGACGATAAATGACGGCGCGCAATTAAATTCTAAAAGTTGTGATAATGCAAACTGGAAGGAATTCTTTGTCCCATTAAAATTATATCCCGTTTTAACGCAACACAAAGCTTGCCCTAATTTTTCCCCCGCGCTGCTATAGATTGAAACGGGATTTTCATAAATGATACGAAATGAAATTAATGTCTCATAAAAGGTATCGGCAAAAAAAATGTTTTCCGGGATCTTTATGACAGCGAAATGAATTTTTCCCATTAATTCGCAGTGTGCGACAATGGGATATCGACCCATTAACGCAACCTGCCTGTGACTCTTCATTCTTTTGTGTATTCCGCGAAATGTCGTTACGCGCACTCTTCAACTATTGTTCGATACGAACTTACAAATTGCGGCTTCGTAATCTAATTTCGGAAGTCAAAAAAAAAACAAAAAAAAGAGATTTATTACTCGATTGTAAATCTAGATTCGTGGAATGTACTTGTGCGCCGCGCTGTTTCAATTTGTTCAGTATTTGAATCCGTTTTTATACAATTACAAAGTTTTCGATTGCAGAAAATAGGCAATTTGTCATTGTCAGTTTTTCATCTTTGACGGGAAAATTCGGCCGAAAATTATATCCTTACAAACCAGGTCTGTTAAAACGAGCCGCGAACATCCGCCGAAAGGCGAGAGAGCGCAGTGTTTTGATGTCATTGCGTTCGGAAAAAAATCTTTCTTCCTCCCGCTTTTCGCCCCCTACCTACTCTCGCGCGCACTGACGTGCCGACGGAGAAATGCAATTGTCACGTGAACCGTGGATGATCGGAGAACGCGGAGAAACGCGGCTCGAAAGAACCGTCGCTCGTGAGTCTCTGCGTGAGACAGAATTCCCAAAAGCAAATCCGTTTTCCACGTTTTGTTTACGCGCGAGGAGTTGAAATCCGAGGAGATTCCTTCCTCCCTTCCGCTGCGATCGTTCGGATTCCGCGCGGAAACGATCGCGGATTGTCAGAGCGGAATGACGACGACGATACGACGCGGAGTCGAGAGAACGAGCCGGCCGGTCAGTTGGTCGCTCCAGACTTCGTTCGCGGCCGATTTAACCCTTTGTTCGGTGAAGTTACAAGCTGCTCGCCGACAATCTAGCGAGCGACGCACTCGAGAACGGGAGAAGGAGCGCGCGGCGGCCCGCCAGGGTGCGATTGTGGACGGCGCGACTCCGCGCCGCGCCACACCGGCGAACATCTGCCCCCGCAAATTTTCGACGCCATCCGAGGGGTCGGGAGGTAATTAGCGGCGATTTTAACGAGGTGACACGGGGCGCGACGAGTGACACGATTTACAGGATTACCGGTAATGCGGATCGCGCGATGGCCCTCGACCCGCAGCTGCCATCCGCCGGCATCTGCTGTCACATTAGAACGTATTATCGCCGCGTGAAAAGTGATACGCGTAATTGCTCGTTGTGTGTTGTGTGTGTGTGTGTGTGTGCGCGCTGCTCGTTTGACGCGCCGATTTGTTTTCTTCGTGGTGAGCCGCGAGGATCAATTGGCTTCGTATTAATGACGATGACGGGACGGACATCGGGAGCGGCGGCGACGGCGGCGGCGAGGAGATCGTGAATTCTCTGGAGATGTCTCTCCCGGAAACTATGCAATTCCAGCTTCGTCAAAGGACTTCTTGCGAGAATTCGAATGGCTGAAACGTTTCTGGGACACTCGGTATAATTAACTAGCTCAGGCATAAATTGTCATTTGCGACTGGCACTTTGCGAGCCTCTGGCGTGTAAGATATTCAGAATCCATTGTACTCGAACTCGGACAAAGAGTCTTCGCGCGGGAAAATAATGATCTTCGCTTTCACGGGATTTTAATATCAAATTTGAAAATTGACGACTCACGCGAGGATTCTCTCGGGGCACACTACTGGCAGAATATTTCACTTAAGACGTAAAATTCAGTCTTGACACTTCGTACGGTAATTTTAAATATTTCTGTGTACACCAACATTACTGACAACGCACATAGAGAGGACAAATGTTGCCTCCCTATTCCCCAAATCTCGTCCTTAATCTTTATTAAAATTCCTTCATTCTTTAAATTTCTGAAAACAGAATCACTCACTTGAAATGAGTGAAAATTCATCGGAGCGTCAGCGGGATCGCGGTAAGTGAACAGTTTCACTCGATTGGAACGAATTTATTCCTCCACGACGATAGAGTATGTTAGAATCGTTCATCGATTTCGAGTGGAAATATTCAGGCGATTCAGAGAGTGGAGGATTCATTCTACTCGCGAGAACAATCACTCAAACTCGCGCGACTCGGCTGTGTCAATCTACTTATCGAGTTTGGAATTTCATTCCAAAAAATCAGAGAGTACGAGTGTGGCTGGAGGAGCGACGACGATCGCAGGATTCGCGCAACAGGAACGCTTCTGTTTTAAGGAGGACACGGGAATCGCGCGCGCGGAAGACCGAGTACTTTTAATACCCCGAGAGAACCCGCGAGGGGGTTAACGACATTAATTTTTCCCCAGCCCCTTGGTCCCTCACCCCGACCCGACACCCCCGCGCCTATCCTCGTTTGATTCCGCTGGCTCTTTTTCTCTCTCTCTCTCTCTCTCTCTCTCTCCCGTCGCGAAGCGGCTCGACGCTGTCGGATTTTCATTTGCATGAGAATCCCGCGGTAGTCTCATTTCGTTTCCGGAAACCCTGACCTTGAAGGGTGCGACGGCAACGCCGGGATATCGCCGTTTGCAAATCGGTGCCACCGCGTGAAATTCATTTTCGAGCATAATAAGGCCGAAAAAATCCTAACGACCGCTCCCGCGGCCGACCTGTTGAACTCCGTGTTTGTCGAGCAGTCGTGTTCTTCGCGTGGAAGTAAGAATACGCATTGAAGGACTCGTTGCGGGTAAACTTACGACCTGTACTTTCCGTGTCTTATACGGAAGATAATTTTATAGTGAAAATTGCCGTAGGATTTCGTGTAGTCGAGACATAGATCGACATCCCACAATTCACTGTCTTTTTATTTCATGTATGCTACTTAGATTTTAGAAAGTGAAATATACTAAGTTGATCCACAAGTTCGTGCAGATTTTTATATAGTTGGCATCCGCATGTTGGTATTAGTAGAGAATTGACCATCTATGTATTATATTATGATAGCTACATATCACAGCATATCTTATGGTGTAAGTAATAGTGTTTAAAGAAGTACAGTTATCTTTGATACGGCTTGAAGGTGGAAGGCAATAGTGAGTTTTTCCAGTGTATTATGCTTCTTTGCTTCCATAAAAACTGTTACAATCTGGCTGGGATGTTTTGCCTCACCCATCATATTCATCTGACATTGCTCCCTCCGATCATAATCTATTTTGCTCATTATAGACGGTACAAACTGCGCTTTTTTAGAAGATGTGAAAAAACGCTTGAAACGTTCCTTCGCCGGAAAGCGCAAGAATTCTACGAGAGGAATATTATAAAGTTACGTGAAAAATGACAAAAGATTGTCGAAAAGAATGACGCACGTATCATTAATTAAAATTGTTTTTGACCAGAATATAAAGCATTTTAATTTTATTTAAAAATCTGCACAAACATATGGATCAACTCAACACTGTGAGAACACTTGCTATGCTTCTAAATTGCTTCGAAAACTATACTTCTTAGCGTAACAATCTGTTACCGGCAGTCTGTTCCTGGACTACTGAAAACATAGTAAAATTAAAAAGAATTTATATGAAAAAGAAAAACTAGAATATTCTCCCCGTGTACATGATTATGTATCGGTGCTTTTATGCACATAAGAATTTGAAAGATCGATTGGAAGGTGTCTCGTTGAAAATATATTTAATTTCTCTAATGTTATGAGTAATTTTTAATTTGGGAAAAGTATTTTATTCTCTCACGTTCTGTCATAGCATTGATCTTATATTACAGTTTCGGCTTAATTTGTCTTAAACAACTTGAATGCAGTATTCGAAAACAAACGACAGAGTGAAATAATTATATAAAATACGAAGAACCAAATATCTTTGATTGAAAAGGCTTTCTTGGTATGCAATAAAAAAAGCTGGTTATAGGAAAGAGCCGAATACAGCTCTTATTGGCTTCATTAATTAGTTTTTTTTATTAAATACGAGAAACATTATCGGTGTAATATGATGATGCACGCCACTCAATCGGAATTGGGAGTCAAATCGTACAAGAGGAAAGGTACTGCACGTTCCTTCTGTCGTTAATTAACGCAGAAGGCGCGATCATTCTCCCGCACATACATTCATACATACATACATAATGTGTGCATTATGTACTGAGAGAAAAATATAGTTGTTTTCGGCGTCCACTATACTTTTTTGTGATTTTAACCAGAAAAATAATTAGAAGAAACCTCTTTCTAATAACACTTACTAAAACAATGGTTCTTCTAATTATTCTTGTGGTTAAAATCACAAAAGCGTACAGTTGACGCCAAAGGCAACTATATTTCCCTCTCAGTGTGGAAGGATTATCTTTTCTGAGTTGTTCGAGACGACGTGGTAATTCCGCGATTTGCGCTCAAACAAGTGCGAGTTGACGTTTCGAGACACACGTTACGAAATGCGAGCCGCGATACAATGACAAAAACGAAAGGGCGTCAAGGACTAGTCCCTTCGCTTCCTGGTCGCCTTACGACCCATCGAAACCGGGCGCCAGACTCGTCACTCTGTCGAGCCCCTTGTCCCGCGTGTCGAGCCCACCCCATTAGTACACCCCCGGTGCTAAGCTCTCTTAAGCCCCACTGGTACATAATAATAGTCTATAGAACAGGTACCACCATATGTCTGGCCCACCCGACCCATTGTCAACACTCCGGGCTGCTCGCGTTGACAGCGCGAACGCGTGCTCGAGGCTCAACAAGCGGAAAATACATCTATCTCGAGATGGCACGATGTCCATTTTCCTCCCGATCAAAGGCGCAAATAAAGACGCGACACCTCAGAAAGTCACGAAATCGCTTCGTATCATGGCACATTCAAGATACAACCCCGTCGCGAGTTTCATTCGCGTTCCTAGACCAGAAGACTAGAATTCGCGCGTTAAGAAGCTAAAAAACGTCCGAATAATTTGTTATTTTCTCAATGCCGTTAACAGAAAATGTCGTTATTGTTCTTCAGAATGTACACATGATGCGTGATTCCATTCCTTCTTATGTGCATCGACAGTTCGGTTCACTGCATGAAGTGCTACCATGCATTGGAAAAGATCCACGCAGTGAACTGAGAGCTTTAGCGACTTCTGTTAACTTCTACGGCATCTTCTCTATGTTTGCCGTGTCGGCCGACTCGCCTATATGTGATCTAACAGGAGATCAAGCCTCGTAGTGGAGAAAACGATAAAAAATGGTCAAACAAAGCGCAACTCCTTCAGCTCGCGAAATAACAACTGTGCTCAGATAATAACGAACGCAATGTCAAATAATCGTGGACCAAGCCACTTTTGGCGGTCTCACGGGCAACCAGCCTTTGTGGTGAAATGAAAAGCGACGCAGTCGTCAGACAGAAAGCCTGATTGATCCGTTCGCAAGCCCATAACTGCGTTCAGTCAGTAATAGTAGAGAACACCGTTACTATATCGCTAAAGTCAGGTAGCCGCGGGCGTTAAGGCGCTCTTGATACGTTTCGGCGCAAAGGCAGACAAGAAAGACCAACGATACTCACCGACAGTGGTAGTGGCACCGACGCTGCTTCTGCCAGGCGTCGCGGCGGGCGTCGGCGGGCTCGCCTCGAGGCCCTGATGCACTCCGTACAGGCCGAAGTCCTGCTCGTTGGAGCTGGCGCTGCTGCACTTCCTCTTCTCCTGATTGTGATTCAGGTGGAAGCTATCGTTCTCAACCAGACCGACGCCGAGCAGACCCAGATTCGGCCTGAGCTCGTCCATCAGCTTGTTCTGGCCGCAGTTTGCGGCGGCAGCGGCGGAGAAGTTGAGCTGCCGGCTGAAAATCGCCGGGAAGATATTGAACTGCTGATGGTCGAGGCTGAGCGCGGTCGTCGGCAGGGATGAGCCGCCGCTGCCGCCGCCGCCGCCGCCACCGCCGACGGAGGTACCACCGACGGAACCGACGGCACCGGGTGCCCCGGTACCTCCGGACAGATCGTTAGCCAGGGTGATGCCGGGGTGACCTGGTCGAGGTCGCTCGTATTGGAAGCACCTGACGCTCTCGGCCGCCTACGAAGACATCTTCCGGCGCGAGCCTTTAGTGAGGGCGCCCCGCGTCCGCTCGACGGATACGTGCACGGTGGTTATCTTCTTCTTCTTCCTTCTCTTCCGCTTCTTCCGCTTTCGCGGTAGCGAGGGTGCCTCGTGAAGTCGTCGGCGGTGCTCGGGCTGTAAGGAGAGAAGGCCTCCTTACCCTCCGCCGACTGCTCGGTGATTTCAACGAGGGCCCGCGGAACAGGAGTGTGTTCTGCTGTCGGTGCTCGATGCCGTGTGTCCGCTTGCCGGGCTGGATCTTGGCCTTCCGGAGGGTGCAGTTGCGTTCGTTGAGAAAGCTCGTGTATCGCGCGTACCCTCGTGTCCTCCGTGCCCTTTACGAACTGTCCAAGAACTTGGAGATCAGTTGGTCGATCTTGAAGATCCCCATTCTCTTGAACATCCTTTTTGGATCACTTGCGCACCTTTGGTATCACTGTTGCTGTAAGTCGTGGACTTGGACACGGTTGCCTGCCCCCCGGATATTATCACACGACGTACCTCAGGCTGCTTTCCATTTGTTGATCGGGAATCTCGGTGGATCAGGATCACCGGATAATTACGCAAAGATCGCACGCGCAAATTTGGCGTGAATCAGAGCTCGATCCTCCCCGACGAATCTTCAAATCTCAAAGATGTGAAGCGTGCGCGCGGTCTCGCAGATACGTTAGTGAATCTCAAAATTGATTTACGAATTACGGTTGATCTCGGGAAAATCTCGCCAGCAGAAAGCTCACGACAACGGCTGCCCCTTATCCGCCAACAGCAACTTGTTCCAAGTGACGATCCATCTAACGGCTATCTACGGAACGGACATCTAAGCGTAATAGATGTCTATTTTGAGACTACCAGAGAATAGTCAGTTCCTCGAGCAGACTCATCCGGTCGTGTCTTCTCGGTGGCAACTGCGATTCCGTTGCACTTTCAGCGAACGTAGACACGCGTTTCTTCTTCGGGTTTTTCACTTTCGGGGCGGGGTTGCTTCTCCTCTTCGTGTTCTCCCTCCGAAAGATCCACGGCGATCTCCTCGCGAGAACAGTCCGGCCGAGAAATCCAATCAGGTGACACGTTCGTTTTTCTTGAGTTCTCCCCTCGTCGTGAACTCTCCTTCGCTCTCTCCCGTCGATAACTCCTCTCGTCGAGCAAGCAAGAACGCGGTCGCGAGGAGTCAAAACAGATCCACGGTAGCCTTGGAGAGAGAGCTCCAAGAGCTGTTATGGCATTCGCCGACGAGGATACGCGACGGCGGCTGATCTCTACGCGACTCTGGAATTCGGCCGCGCGCGATTCAAATCTGATTATCCCGTCGATCCAATTAGAAGGGTGCGCGACCCCCGCGAGGGGGTAGGGGGCTCGTTCGTCGACGCGCTGGGACCAGCTGGCCTTGAAAACGCGAATATCGAAGTAATTGGCGAGAAATGGCGCGCGTGCAAATCGGACCCAAGAAGTGGCGCGCACCGCGCGAGATGACGACCGCGTAACGGCGAGGACAACGACGACGACGACGACGATAACGACGACGATGACGAGGACGAGGACGAGAACGTGCACGACGCGCCCTTCTGTCCTTCCTTCCTTCTTTCCTTCCTTCCTGAGGAGGACAACGCGGTGGGAAAACTCGGTGACGACAGGAGCGGAGAGAGCGAGTCAGAGGGGGCGACTGCTCGCCGTGAGTTCTTGTGGGATTCTGTCCGCGAAATGCAGTTATCCCGGTGACTCCGCGCGGGGGTGAGCGAGCAGAGAACGCGTACGAGGGGGTTGCCCGCCTGCCTTTCGACCGTCGTCATCGCGTCGTGGTAGGGGGGGTTGTTGCCCGTAACCGGTGTGTGTTGCCACCCTCAGCCCCTGCGCGGCCGCCACCGACGCCGCCGCCACCGCTGCCCCCACGACGCGAGGGCGCGAGGAGCGTAGGGTATGCGCCGGATTGGCCCGGCGGAGGGATGCGTCGCCCGGGCGACGACCAACCCTGCAGGCCGCCACGATGTCCGCGTCGTCCCCACCGGCGCCGCCAACATGGCGGGCGTACCAATAAAAATTCCTCCGGAAAATAGCCTGCGAGCGATTTTCTTTTCCGGGGCTACCAGCGCGTTGTAGCGCTTTTCCGACGACGCACACGCTTCGTCCTAGTCACCAATACGCGCGAAGGGGATATGCCGTAGAAGTCCCTCCTCCTCCTCATCCTCCTGTACCATCATCGTCCTCCTCCTCCTCCTCCTCCTCCTCCTCCTCTTCCTCCACCGCCGTCCTCGCGTCATCATCGCCCTTCGCGTCTCGCACCCTCTCGCCCTGTTCTTCTGTCTCGCTCTCTGTTTGCTTCTCTCTTCTTCTATCTCTGTCTCTATTCGGTACTATCGTGTTTTTTCCCTCCGCCTCTCCCTCTCTCTCTTTCTCTCTCTCTCTCTCTCTCTCTCTCTGTCCCTCTCTGTCTTCTCTCGTCTCTCTCTCGCGCGCGCGCCTCTTTTCCTCCGCGCGCGCGGCTCTCGTCTTCGTTTTTATTATCTCGCGGCAGATAGCTTTTTTAATTCTTTTCCCCTTTTTTCGGGATTTGATTGTAATGTACACCCACGACTATGACCCACCTGCGTGCCGGGCGTATATAGCCGCGCGTCGCGCGACGCCGGTGCATCGTTTGCGCCGTGAGATGCATTCGGCCCGGCGCTAAATGTCTTTGTGTACCTCACGCGGCTCGGCTTTTCCAGAGGATTTGTAATTTGGAGACGCCTTCTCTATCTTTCCCTGGTGCCCCTTTGTCCGCGCGCGGTCGCTTCTTTTTTCTTTTTATCGCGCCGCGGTAGATTGCGTTTTTTGATTCCTTCCATTTTTATTTCTCGGGACTTCACCGTCAAGATCGCCCGCCTCGACCGATCAGTTTTGCAGGACTCCCTCCTCGACCTCGTAGGAAATTTTATTTCTGAGATCTAGACGTAGTTACCGCGTATGGTCGTGAGCGAGAGACGACTGGACACGATGATTTTCATGTTCGCTCTTTTGTTCCATGTTTAACATGCTACTCGCGAAAATGCACAGTGCGAATCGGCCGGAGAGCTCAGGTCGAAGTTCAGTATCGCCTCCTGAATGCCGACACTTTGTGACCGTGTGATCCTGCGAAATCATGTGATCGCACATCTGATATGTAAGTTGAACGCAAAAGTACTACACGAATATGTATAAAGTTCGTTGACTACAGTCGGTGTCTAGAACTTACGGCGATACGAACGAATTCGCAAGTATCGGTGCTCGATTGTTCTTCTGAAGAGCCTCACAATTATGTGAAACAATTATGTTTGCTCCGTGATCAGTCGAGTTTCGTCAGTATAGTCAGTATATTCAGCGAAGAAAGTTCCTTTTTCACGCTATGAACACCACATACCTCGCGATTCCTTCAATTTGCATGAAGGAAATAGCCGGCCGTCCTGGTCACCTTCAAGTTACCGTTAACGTGTCGTGGATGGCAGGCAGCGGGCGCTCGCAAAGTCGCATGATAATCCGTGGTCGCTCACTTTTCCGACGCAGAGATGAGAGAACCTGTATTGTCAAGAAAACAAATAAAAAATGCTGCGAAACAATAACGAGTCGCACGAACCAAGTGTCGAAAAAACAAAGTAAATTGATAGATTAAAGCGAAGAGGGGAGCGAAGGGATTAATGCATCGGAGCGAGTCACCCGTCGTCCCGTTCACATCGGCAACGAGAAGTTTAATTCGATTGTACTCGTTCCTCTTCAAATTAGCCGGGAGATGGAACGTCGGTGCAACTTGTCGTGGTAAGAACCGCCTTACGTGGCAATTATGTTGAGCAGCATGGATCATCTATTCCATTCGCGCGTTCGCGATCTTCTTCATTCTCATTCCGACGTCCCCCCGTGCGATTTGCATCGTCATAGCTGTCGGCATTTCCATTTTCATTTCTGGCTTTCTTTGCGCCAGGCTACCTTCGCTTTGTCCCACGGTGGATATCATTTTTAAGTCCCTCACCGTCTCGCAAACGCGGACGCGCGCGCGCCTCTTTGTATGTTTCTCTGCTTTCTTCTTCTCTTCTCTTTCCTTCTCTTCTTTTTTTTCCTTTCTCTCCCTCTCCCTTTCTCTCTTTTTTTTTTCTTTCTTTGCAGCGCACATTTTCTTTTCTCTCACGACGCGGCGGAATATGCGCGCTCGCGCCCGTCAGAGACACGAAGCCGTCGCTTGCTCTTCGATTTTCCGCGAGTCCATCGTTCTTGCACCCTCTTCGAGGCGTCTCCGGCGAGAGATGCCGGAGCAGGAGAAAGAAAGACAGAGAGAGAGAGAGAGAGAGAGAGAGAGAGAGAGAGAGAAAGAGAGAAGATCTCTACAAGACTGTCGTCGTGGGAGATCGATGAGCACCGCTCGAAATCGAAGCGGAGCGGAGAGAAAAGAGAAAGAGAGAGAAGAGGGAGGGGGAGAGAGAGAGAGAGAGAGAGAGAGTGTACCGGACGGAGAAATGTAAAGTTTCGCAGAGCTCCTCTCATCGGGAGCTCGACCGACGTCTCCGAAGTTGCGTGGCGTGCCTTTCAAAGACTCGGCAAGCCGTTTCATTGAACTGGCAAAAGTCGATTTAGCGACTGCCTTAGAAACTAGGCCACCGCCGACGTATTGCGTTCCGGTCAAGTTAAAATAAACAATCGCCTCGCGCTTTGTACAGAGCTCGATAAAAAACGGGAGCGTCCCTCGAAATCCCGTGACGTCCAAAGTCGCACCGAGAAAGAGAAATATTTGGTACTGGTTACCGCAGTCGCGCGGAGAAATAACCACTACAAATTATTTTATGGTGAAGAAAGCTTTTTAGATTCTACTATAATGTTAATGATGATAACCTTGATGTGTGTCGCTATCACCATTTTCGCGTTAGAACGATCAGAAAATATGTTTGCGACAAAAAATAACTATAATTCTGGTTAGATCATGCATCTTTTTTCTTACACTATGCTTCCATATCGCGTGAGTGCAATT